TCTCTCTCTCTCTCTCTCTCTCTCTCTCTCTCTCTCTCTCTCTCTTTCTCTCTTTCTCTCTTTCTCTCTCTCTCTCACACACACACACACACAGAAGCAGTATGCTCTGTCCCATAATTGAGTAGACCAGCTTGCCCTGATAGACCAGTCTCACCAGGAAAAAACACTTCACACACACACACACACACACACACACACACCTGATTTTATACTTTTCATAATTACTCCTGAAATATAGCAAAAAGTTTCATATAAGTTTTGGAATAGAAATAATTTGAATAAAAATAAATGATTAATTTATACTTTGCAGTCTAGTAACAGTTTTAGTTTTGCTTGATCATTATCTAACTAGTTTAAACTTGATTTGATTTAACGCAGGCTACTGTGGGCTCATGTAATATTCCCAAACCAAGTATGTTGGATTTTGTCAACAAAGCCAAATGGGATGCTTGGAACTCACTTGGCAGTATGACACAGGTAAGCATACTCTCAAAAACCTTGGTTTAACATTTTGGGTGGGAAGAGTCCTTTAAAACAAAACATCCATTATATCCATGTTAATATAATAATGTAATTTACATAATTTGAGATAATATGTAATCTGCATAATTGCAAATAGTATAAATAGATGCAGATGATATAGCTACATCAGTTACTTAAGTATGCAAATGATGAATTGTTATTAAGTGGCTTCAGGATTTTAGCCTTAAATTTAAAATTTTTTAAAACTAGAGACATAAAACTCTCTCGTACAAGTTTTTTTACTTGATATTAAAGTTGTGGAGAGATCCCATTTTAAGCATTTTGTTTAATAATCTTTTAAAATATAAAATATTATAATTTACATTATTTACATTACATTATTACAATATTATCCATTTACATTATTTCATATATTTTATATGAAGATGCCCATGGAACACAATTGTTGATTCTTATCAAAATATGCAAAATCAAAGGAAAATTTTAATTTCTATGGCGATTTTAATAAAGATGTCACCACCAGAGGAAAGAAAAGGATCTTCTTATTTTACTCCAGGCTGCATTATAAAACTTTGCATAAGTAATGGAGATTCATAACTGATCTAAAGTGAATGAATTCTGCTAAATTAGAAACAAAATTAATTTAGAGTGCTTCTTGATGAAGGATTATGTACTGCACATCAAAAGACAATGTTCAGTTTTTTGCTAATTTCCAAGTGGTCTTCAAAGGGAATTCAGTGTAGAGCCCATTAGAGCAGTCCATTCATGAGGTACAAGTGCTTTCTACTTCAGAGATATCAAAATAAGAGGAACCCACCAATTTAACTTTTCCTATGTTAAAAATATAAGGACAGCAACAGTTGAGTAGTCACTGATATGATAAAATAGGGTTAAAATGCTAGCCTAGAAACCAGGAGACCATGAGTTCTAGTCCCATCTTGGACGTGAAAGCTAGCTGGGTGACTTTGGGCCAATCACACCTTCTCAATCCAACTTTTACCTCACAGGGTTGTCGTGGGGAAAATAGGAGGAAGAAGGAATATTAGATATTTTCACTGCTTTGAATTACTTATGAAGTAATACAGTCAGGATAAAAGTCAAGTAAATAAATAATGACAAACAAGGCAGAAAATTTTATGCCAGCATATTTTTCTGCCGTCTCAAGTACTAGCACCTGGTACTTTGACATATCCTAAGACTGTGATATAATTATGCTGCAAAGAGGCAGCGAGAGACTTTATGTCTTCGTATGCCATCAGAATAGTTCTTCACTCCTCTTTCCATTGCAACATCTATGAATAATATGCACTTTTTCAGGAATATACACTACTGTGCAGAATTAATAATAAAAAAGTATTCAGCTCAAGGTCAAATTCAAAAGGTAATTAATAATAATAAATTAATAAATCCTCTAGCACATACTGAGAGTAAATGATTTCATTTAGTAGCTTCACAAGTACTAGGGATTTATAATATTGTAGAGAAGAAATAATGTTGAAATGTGCCACTGGAATGAATATGATGTTAAAATGTTTAATTCTGCTATACCATGTCAAATGCCTGTTTTGATTGTTTTATTATGATCTGCAGTGTAAATTGTATTTTTAATAAGAAAATTGCATATATTTTAAAATAATTTAAACTATATGTATTCTAATTCTGAAAAAGCCATAGAAATAATAGCATTCAACATATACCAACAAAGAATTTTCCAAAGATATAAATTAATAAAAAAATTAAAAACATAGCAAGTAGATTTGCACTTTTGTCATTTAAAATGTCAAAGATAAAACATGGTATTTCTAATTTTGAATCCTTCACTTTGTGTATTTTTAGTCATTTGTTTATTCAACTTCTATAGCCACCATACTCAACCAAGTGACTCTGATGGCTTACAATTTAAAACTTATAAAACAATATAAATGATTTTAAAAAGAATAAAAACATCTATAAAATAAATAAGTGTAAACAGCAGCTGCGATGATTAATCAACTGATAGCAAAGTCAAGTTATGGGTTTACATTTTCTATCTTGATATCATTTATATATTCTATATATATATTATTTTAATACTGACTTCTCATTACAGGACAATGCCAGACAGAGCTACATTGAACTAGTATCAAGTTTGGTTCCTGCAGAACCTTCTCCAGTTAATGAAATTCCACCTGGTAGCAAATATGAGACACTTGAGGTTACTACTAAAGACAATATCACAAAGATCATGTTAAACCGGCCAAAGAGGAAAAATGCTATCAGTGTCAAGGTAAAGCTTGTAGATTTTGTAGTTTGGGAGCAAATAAAAACAGAGAAGGAAAGTAATTTTTCAAAAGACCATCTATGGATCATTTAAAATGATTTCAAAAAATGGTGCTATCTGTATAGGATTACTAATCACCTCAGACATCTGAGGAAAAGTTACCCCAATGCACTGTTGGGGTTCTTTCCCTGTCTTCTCTTTTCCTCATCTGTTTTGATTCTTTTTTCCCTCCTTGCTATTTTTCAAACACAGATGAATCAAGTACACATGGACTTTGCTTTGTATTCACCTAGGATCCACAAAATTTCACAGGGAATGCTACACATATTTATTATGATAACTACTAACCACCCCCTTTTTTACATTTAGATAATTATTTGAATTTTGACAATGGGAAACTGCCGACTACAAAGAGGTCTAGAGATCCAAATAAGTCCATAAGCTTTTTTTTTTTTTAGAAAACAAAAAGCAATGAATAGACCCAGTCCAGTGCTTTGTTTGTAAGTGTATCTATCTGTCAATAACAAAAAAAAGGATTTGTATGTGCGCTAGGCAATGTTTTTCAAGTCGAAGAAGCTAATTGGAGTAGCAAGCAGTACACTGGTGGGTCGGTTATTTGAAATTGTTGATTGATATAATCAGTCACCTATATTATTGTCAAGTATTCTCTCAGCAGCCATTTAACACAAGCACTCAAATGTTCTTAGAACTCCAAATGCTCAAGACAATTGGGTTTGTTTGTTTGTTTTTCTTTTGCATATGTTGCTCTTCCCTGTAGGCTGTAGGCAACCAATAATATTTACATACTGCTAAACTTCTTGTACTCTTTAACTGGGTGAAACTGTGCATCATAGGGTAAGATTTTTTTCAACCAAAATACCACAAATGGGTAACTTACAGAATGCCATGATCCATCACTCTCAAGGGAATAAAATTTAGGGAGATTTGGGAAAGTTGTGAGTGCTTCACCTCTGTGGTGATGTACAAAGCAGAAGCTTGCATCAGGTTGTAGTCAAAAGACTGCATATGTTCATTACAAAGGTCAAAACATTTGATATTCTGTATATTTCATTATTCACAATTTGATATTCTGTATATTTCATTATTCACAATTTTATTTGTTGGAAGCATTCTGTGTCTACAGTAGTTCTTAAAAAAAGATTGTATTCTGTTGAGTCTTTGGATGATAGAGATAAAATAGAGATTCAGTACTTCTACCAAAGTTTTTCCTCAAACTTTCTGAATTCTAGAATGGGAATTTATTTTTAATTTGTTAATTCTCTTGTGCAGATGTACAATGAAATTATGAAAGCGCTTGAGGAAGCCGCAAATGATGATTCTACTATAACAGTACTTACAGGTATTAGCTTTTACCATGAAAGTGAAAATCTGTGCTAATATTAAATATTAACAAAACAGCAACGCACATGTTTGTGTCAACCTGCATGCACAGTGAATTTGCAGTTGACAATGAAGTAAAGGTGTTGGATAGTTGGTTAAAAACTGGTTTCAGATGGGTAGTGTGCTAAAAAATTGAGAATCCTAGGGAAAATGGCTATATGAAACAGGCAAAATCATGAGTAGAGATATTTCAGTGATAACAAATATCAGAAGAGTGAAAGCAAGTCAGCATTAAGAGCTAAGGTGGTTTGAGAGTATACAAAAACTGACTTCAAACAAGCATTAGGAATCAGAAACTCATATCTTTTGAGCATATCATGCAAGTAGACGATGGACAACAAACCTGACTGCTTGGCAAGGCTGAAGAAAGTAGAAACGATGGATGGATGACAGGGATATTACTGGGATGTCTTTGGAGGAGCTAAAAGCAATTAAAAAGGCAATCTTGTTCAATCAAGTTTGAGTTAGTGTGGGGAAAGAATATATTTTCTAGATGTAGTAGTTGCATTAACATGCAGTAACAGCATCTAGGATTCTAAAGAATGCTAGTTTTTCATACTGTTGCCAAAATTATTGCTCCCATTTAGTTACTGATTTCTGGAAAGAATTAAGCATGAAAGCCAGTTGAGTGACTTTGGGCCTGTCACTGTCTCAGTCAACACACCTCACTGGGTTGTTGTGGAGAAAATAGGACAAGGAAAGGGCATTGTGTACTTTTGTCACATTTAGTTATTTATAAAGTAATAAAGATGGGATTAAAAATAAGTAAGGTTAATCATTGAAATCAGTGCAGTGTAATCTTCAACTAATGTTGAACCCTGTTCAAAATAAATTGATTACTTTTGCCTAGAGCACTCTTTCTGAAGGTAATACTGGTAGTCCTCTGTTAGTAACCTCTTCGTTCAGCAACTGTTTAAATTTACAAAGGCACTGAAAAAGCAGATTTATGAGCAATCCTAGAATGTGTAGCTATTGCAACAGATATTTTAGGCTCAATTTTGGTTGTAAGTTAAGGACTATATGTCTCAACTTGTGGTCATATGACTTTATATTTAATCATGAATGATTTGCTTAATGACCACAGAGGAACTGAGGTGAGTTAGGTGTGGTCCCAAGGAAGTTGCTGATTCAAATTGTAGTCATTAAGTGACTACTTGTATTTATTTCATTCTTTTTAAAATAATTTGCTTCTATGTAGGTAATGGAGACTATTACTGTAGTGGAAATGACCTGAGCAACTTTACCCAAATTTCACCTGGTGGAATGGAAGAGTCTGCAAAGAATAGTGCAGAGCTGCTCAAGTATGACTTGTTTTCATTTTTGTTAAAATGTATAATGAATATGCACAATGAATGATAAGCAGAAAAAGGTCATATCCCATTCTGTTACTTATTCCTTAATAAATAAATACGTACAGGCTTATAACTATAAATCCCCAGTATCAGAAATTAGTGTTTTATTCATATCTATATAAACTTAAACAGTATAAAACTGTATGCCCTCAGCATGTAAAGTTAATATAGAAAAATAATTGCACAGAGTGCACCATGGGAATCATAACTGGAAAGAATTTCCTCTTCTGCTTAGTTTTGACCAGAAGCCTCTGCTTCAATAAATACCTGTCTTGTATTTTCCCCCGTATCTTTTTCCCTATCGTCAGTTACATCCTGCTCCCTTCCTCACCATCTTTAGTCATAATTTTTATTGATGTTGTTAGCTGCCTTGTGGCGAGATGGGTGGCAAACAAATTTAATAAATAATAATTAAGAAATATTTCTGCCCGAGAATATTCTAAGATTTGGAAAGAAAATATGTTATCTCAAATTATTTCTTAAATATGTATCAAAATGAGACACAAGCAATTAATTAAATAATAGATTTTAAAGAAGCCAGTTTCCACTATTAAAAATGTACATCTTAGTTCCTTTTTATGTGCATAGTGTAGAAAAATCTGTCTAATACTTTGTGTATCTTGACCTAGAAATAAATGATTACCAAGATTTTTTTTAAAACAAAATCTTCTGATGTACTTTTCACCCATTCAGTCGTAGAATGGTACAGTAGTAAAGCCAAAGTCATTTTAGGTCTCAGAGAACGATTTCAAGGTAGATATTGTATATTTAAAACTCCAGAAAGATGTACATTCTCAGGGAATTTCAACTGTAGGAATATCTAATAAATTGTTAGTGGGTTTTTTCCCCTAACAGAAAAAAAATGTTCACTTATTGTAACATTCCAAAATATTATCTTGTTTGTAAATTGATTCCTATTCCTTTCTCTTCGCAGAAAATTCGTTCAACATTTTATTGATTTTCCAAAGCCATTAATTGCTGTGGTAAATGGGCCAGCTGTCGGGATCTCTGTAACTCTGCTTGGACTTTTTGACATCGTATATGCTACGGACCAAGTAAGTTTTTTCTCTTTGATTCCTGTCACTACCATCAGATCATTGTGGACATAGACTTTTGTTGGAATATTGTTTATTTGTTCAAGATAGAGTTCCTTCCCCCCTCCCTACTTTGAGAATCAAGGTTGGCAGAGTGAGATGCTATATATGAGAACTGGAGTTTTTCTTCATAAAATTGAATTATATTTTTTACTGAATGTTCTCATACTGGAAAGGGATATAGGCACGTAGACCTATAAAAAAGAAAAACCTCTGTAGAAGCACCTGCAAGCTGGCACACTCATAACTCCAAAAATACAAAGAAATTGTATGTTTAAGTGCAACAATAAAGTCCTAAAGAAAACCTTAATAGTTCTTTGTTTGTAAAATACAAGATAACCTCTCCCACTTCCCCCCACTGCTTATGTAAATGTTTGCCTTAGGATACTAATCACTTTCCTTCACTAGCCTAGTTACTGTGGTTCCCAAAAAAACATGAATGTAGGGAGATAAGAGTGTGTCCCTTTTACTCAAACTCTTAACTCTTTCATCTGAACTGCCTGGGTCTCGCACTGCATTGCTACTTATCCAAGGGTGCCTTTTCAGGTGAACTTGTTTTTAAATTATTTACACCCCCCCCCCCCTACACACACATTATCGAAGTGGATCCTGGACACTGCACTGCAATGAAGAAACGGGCAACAGAGTGGCTGGCATGAGGGAATGAGAAAGCCACTTTCCCTGTTTCTTCTCCCTACTCCTCCTCCTTCATTCATGCCAGCCGCTCTGTTGCACATTTCTCCATTGCAGCACAGTGCCCAGGATCCACTTTGATAGCGGGGAGGGGTGGTGGTTAATTTAACAATTGGTTCATCCAGGGTTTGCTTGGCCATCGCAGGAGGTTCATCCCGCATGTGCGGTGGAGCTAGAGGATGAGGGTGGGGCACCCCTCCCACAACAGCCAACCTGACCTTGGGTGAACCGGTTGTTAAATTATTTTAATCCCACCAGTGGTGGTTCTTCATCTGTTGCAGAGGTCCCCTGGTCCTTTCTGATGATCAGCTGTGGATTGTCTATGCTTCCTGCTCATCCAGTTGCCTCTCTCACCTTCCCTCCTCCCATCTCCATGCAACACTACTGTGGTTTTCTTATTCCTTGTCTTATGCACCTCATCTCTTACATTGTCAGCTTGCACAGGGTTTAGGGTTTTTTCCCCCCCTCCCTGCCTAAATGTCAATTTCCTTGCCTCCACCATTGGTTCTCTCAGAAAGAAATTCTTTAATTTGGAAGACTACACTCGTGCAAAGAAAATTCCAGTATTCATACGGTATATGCAGCTCGTCCTGTAACACAAGGAAGCATCACCAGCAAATAATAACAGCGATGTAATGACCGTCACACAATTGCTTTTTCATTTAAGCAGTCTCATATAACATCAATATTGTGGATAATTCTGGTTTAAAGAACATACTCTAATTACATCTGAATAGGGTATTTACTCCAAGGGACACTTTAAACCAGATTTAGGGAATTTACTTTGAGAAAACTGCCAGTTTCCATCTGGAATAGCATGGCTTGGAGTAGATTTGACATAGAATATTCCATCCATGAATCTCTGAATCTTACACATCTCAACATCAGAGTCTTGCCACTTGCACACACATAACAAAAAACCTCCCTGTAAATACAGGAATATTCAGTGCATGTTAAAGTTACTCTTGTTGTAGATAACGATTGTACTGTAACTGGATCAGAGAAGTTCACACTTAGAGCTCTCAGTGTGAGTTTTTAATCATACCATTTGAAAAATGCCATGGCTATATTCTTTCTTCTAAGGAAAAATAAAGTCTCTATGTTGACAATATTTCTTTTCCACACAGGCTACCTTTCATACACCTTTTAGCAACCTGGGTCAAAGTCCAGAAGGATGTTCTTCATACACATTCCCCAAAATTATGGGGTTAACTAAGGTAGCACGTGAAGATTTTATCTGCTTGATGGTTGATTTAGAAAAAAAAAAAGCTCTTCGGTTTTGTTCCAGAAGGAACACATGTTAGGAATGAAGAACAGGGCCATGTAAGGATGGGCTCTTATGTGCCATATGGAGCATGGTCACGACTGTATTTTAATAACATTTTAATATTCAGAGCAGTTAGCTGACCAAAATATACTAATGCTGTAATAATATCATAGGGAATTGCCTTGTCACATATCAGAATTGCTTCTTGATCAGCCATGTCCAAATGACCTATTTTTACTCTGCCTATCAGAGTCATGGGTAGATGTCAGTGGCTGAACCTTGAGATAGTTTATGAATGATACTCTGATGTGTTCTTCTATCCCTTATATATAACAAGAAACAGTGGAAAGTCAGAATGAGCCGTTGTTTCTTTTCTCATTTA